ATTTCCTTTCAGCTCATAGATGTAGAGAATAGTCAGCTAATCTCCCAACCTCCTTGAGTAATTGATTACCAGTCTTCCCTTTCTTTTCTCCATAGCTGAAGTGCACTCCAAGAGCACCCTAGGCCACATTTTGAGAAGGGGCAAACTATAACTTGAAGTTGTTATTAGGATTCCCAAATCCCAGACTGAGTAATTAAAAAAAAAGTTTAAAAAATAAAATAGGGATGGGCAGCAAGTATGACAATCTCAAAGAAAAGAAAAAATTCCAGTATCCATACTGAAAGAATAGCAGTCCCTACAGAATAGTAAATTTGTTCCACATAACTGTGGCTGGTGGTATGTGCCAGTAGCATTAGGTCAACTTGGTGTGCCTTATTTTGTCTAAAAGTTCATCATTTTAACAAGAAGACAGGTGTTTGCTTCTGTGATAAAGTCCAGTCCCAGTCACTGTATTCTTCACATTTTTACTAATGACTTGTATGGGGAGGTAGAATAATACTTATCAGTTTTGCATATAACACAATATTAGATGGGATAATTAAAACATAAAAGATGCAGATAAAATTCAAAATGATTTTGATTGGTTAAAGAAATGGACCAATAGTGATTTTCTGTTATCTCAGAGAGCAGGACAGTGTTTAATGGATTTAAAGTACAGGCAGATTCTGACAGAATAATTGAAAAAGCTTTCTAACAAAGCAGTTTAAATGTATGACCAGTTATGCAAAGAAGTGATTGGCTCACCTTTCCTGGATGTATTCAGACACAAGCTACTGAGGATGTGATTAGTTTAAGGAGTGCACATTCCAAGCATCTTTTTCATTTCAAATCTAAAGTGCTACATAACCCTTCTATTCCTATTACAGCTTCACTTAAGAGATTGTTACATGGACTAAGCAAACTTGAGTATGTAATCACAGAAAAAAGGATGCAGAGCTCATGTATTCTAAAATATTGTAGTTGAAAATAATGTTTTTGCATGCTGAAACTTACAGCTTTATCAGCTTTGTCTGTGGGTAGATTTGCACAATTGTGGTAGAAAAGCAGTTAATGTTGGTGCATCTCTAACAACTAAAGGAAGCAGATTATCTGTAGCTTTTAATGTGATGAAATTGCCATTATTCCTCTGCAATGTAACACAGAAATTATACAGGTGTGGCTAGAAGCTGTAAATGTTAGAATTGTTAAAATTATGTCAGAAGTGTTACAACGTAACTAAGGATCTGTTGGTAAACTTCTAGGGCACTTTTTAGTTGATTAGCAATAGTTTCTTATAAGTTAACAATAGCAAATGAGATTGCAGATGATGTTATAATTATCCTTGTTTCTGAGCCACAGTGGGGTTCACCTATGCAATTATGCAGTGGTCTTAGTATGGGTATGCTAGCCAGTTCTAGAATTTTTATTAGCATTTCTGGTCTGCGATAGCTCAGACATAGACTGAAGACTTATATATTCACATGGCCTTGAAGTTTAGGTAGTAGTCTTTAGTAAATAGTTGGCTTTGTCCTCTGACCCATCATTTGCTCTGTTGCTATACCACCACATTTCTGCATTTTGGTTTGGTGAACCTTAAGGCTCTAATAAAAAAGAAACATGACTTCTTCGAGTCTTGGCTATGGATATATAATTTTCCAGAAAATTTTGGGAAATGTAAATATATTCAGACTTTTATATCTCTGTCTGTAATGGCTGACGTAGCAGTATCTATTCCATTTTCAATGCTTTGAGGTTTTGTAGAAGACAGGAACAACTTCACCCAGCCTCTCAAGCAAGTGTTAAGAAGAAGAAGCAAGTCCATAAGCAGAGGAGGAGTGATTCCATTCTTCTCCTATGAAATTAAATGTCAGTACTCCCAGTAGAGGCATCTGATACAAACCTTAATTACAAGAAAACATGACAAAACATGTGTTGCAAGGCAACTCCTGGCCTTTCGTGTTCCAACCTTGTGTTCTTTTGGTTGCAGTACTTAAGTCACATGGTTTGGCTTGTGAAGCATGTTTCATCATTTACACACACACACACATACTCCGCCTTCCTCCACTTCTTGCAGACGCCTGTGACTCCCAGAAGAAGAAATAAAGTTTTGTGCTTATATTTTAGAATTGTGCTATATAGATTGTTTTCTGCATATGGGAATTGTAATGATCTGATGTTCTTAATAATCCTGCATGAATGTTTTCCCAGTTCATAGATTTTAAAAATTATTTTGAGATGTAAATGTAGGGTAGCAGTATATAAAGGAAACAGGAAATATTACAGTATTTTTTTTTCCACTTTTGGAAAAATGAGGATCTTTTTTTCCCCTTTCTGTGTGGATCTGTAGCTCTAGCCTAACTGAATCCACCCCCTATCATGGACATTTTCATTAGAATAGGGTAGTTTGACTTCTCTTTCAGACCTCTCATAACTAGACCTCTCTACAACTGTAAAATAAACAGATTAAAACTGTTTCTATTCCCAGGCACATTCTGACATCAAACTTTATGCTAGCCTACACTATGTATCCTATAAAAGTATTAGGCTGCTACAATAATAATATCTTATATGCTGGAATAATATTCTGAATAAATACTATCTAAGCTCTATTTTGTTGCAGTTTAAACTTTTTAAAAATGAGAAACAACTAAGAGTATTGTGGCCATTTTAAAGAACTGAACCTCTGTCAAGATCATCTAATATGTATTAGAGTCCTACATGGAAATGGAGATGCAGATGTTCAAGCTGGTTTCAGAGAAGGCCGAGGAACATGAGACATTATTGCTGATGTATACTAGATAATTGAGGAAGCCAATGAATATTTTTAAAAAGTCAGTATGTACTTCACTGATTATAGAAAGTGACAACCCGCGTCACTGGAGACTAATACAAAATTGTGGGTGTAAGTTTAGAAATATCTTTTATTTTAAATCATACGCTTGACAATTAAAAAAATAGCAGTAATAAGCTTAGTAAAACAGAAATGAATCCAATACAAAATTGTATTGAACAATAAATGTTCAGTAATAAATATTGACTAGTACAGGAAATTCCATATAAAGTAAATTCTCTAAAAGAGCTACAATAGATCTGCTGACAAGTTTATCAATTTTGCTCAGTAACAGAGTACAAGAAATGACTCAGTCACTGTCAATAAGAACTGGTTAATATGATTGGCAGCTTGTAGCAATAGCTTCATGTATCCACTGAGTGCTGACCTTTTCTAATTTGTCAATATGTGCTTGACAAGTCACCAGTACAGCATTTCCTTTTGCCTGTACTTTGGTTACAGCTGGCTGTATTTTGTGGACTGTATGTGTGATAGAAATGCAATGGTACTTAATGTAAAATATTGTGAAATCTATGTTTATTTAAACTTTTTAAGACTTGAGATCGAGTTTTCGGTTTAGCAGAAACAAATGCTGTGATTAAACCATGCCACTAGGTGGTGCCTTGGATTAAATATTTTTTCAGACGTGCTGGGATTGGTATTTAAATCTTATTAACCATAATTAGAGACTTTAGACTATGAGACTGTTATAAGCGTATCTTGTTCTATAATTCTGTATTGTAAATATGCAGTAACTCTTTCAATAATGTCTCTGTAGGAACTGTCAAGCTCCAGAAGGAATCATAACTGACTGGCCATTGACAGGTAAGAACATGTAAATTTGTTTACCTGGCTATTTTAACTGTTGTTTAATATATTAATTTAAATTATATTTTATGCCTAAATATAAACAGAGTTCACAGTTAAAAAGTAAAGCCTGTGTCATCTGTTCTGATATTAAGGGTATTTCTAGATTTAAATTATCATGCCTTAGACATTTCTGGAGCTGACAAGATAGAAAGCATATCTTGATTTAATAATAACAGTGCCCTGATTCTTGTAAGGTATGTTTACGGAACAGCTTTAGGAATTGATTTTTGATTGACTCTGTGCCATCATATTGGTGTCAGCTTGTAGTGATCACATAAACCCTCTCCGGGATGATCTGTCCCCAGCCTGGCCCTTCAGGCCTTCTACCAATTGTCACTGTATTGAGTCCATCCACTTTGCTACTTGTTGTTCTGTAACTCTCTTTCCTTCATCTTTGCCCACATTATAGACTTCTCCAGAGAGTTTCACATAGTGTGTCCAAACTATGATCATTTGAGCCTGGCCATTTGTACTTAAGTGACAATTCTGGATTGATATGTTCTGTGATCCATTTGTCTGTTTCCTTAGCCATCAGTGGTATTCTGAGGAGTCTTCCCCAAAGCCAGATTTCAAAAGGGTCAGTACTCTTTCTATCCTCTGCTTCTTCAAAGTCCAGTTTTCGCTTTCATAGAATGTCACAAAGAAAATCATTGCCTGCACAATTCTCATCTTTGTAGTACAGACATACCACAGCATCTGAATATGTTTTCTAAGGTCCTCACTGTTACTCTGTCAAGTACTAACCTGTGGCATGTTTCTTGACTTCTGGTTTCCTTACTGTTGATAGTCCATCTTAAAAGGCAAAAGCAATCCACCACTTCAGTATCTTCACTATCAATTCTAAAGCTGCTTGCGGTACCCATTATCATTACTTTGGTATTCTTTATGTTTAATCTTAGCCCCATTTTTTCACTGTGTTCTAGTAATGAAGTGCCTTTCATTACTAGAGCTTCCAGATAATTCATATTTTCAACTATCAGAGTAATATCAACATAATACAGATTCTTGACATTTCTTCCTCCAATTTGAAAGCCAAATTTATCTTCTTCCAATCCAGCTTCCCTTAACATATTCAGAATAGATAAAGGGAGACTGTACAGCCATGGCTCACTCCTTTACCAATCTGGAGCCAGTCTATTTCACAATGTCCCATTTGGACTGTGGCTTCCTGTCTTGTATGTGGATTTTACATGAGGATGATCAGATGTTCCGGTATTCCAATTTTCCTAAGGACATTCTATAGCTTGACACAACTGATGTACTTTCTATAATCAGTGAAATACATACTGACTTTTTAAAAATATTCATTGGCTTCCTCAATTATCTAGCATACATCAGCAATAATGTCTCATGTTCCTCGGCCTTCTCTGAAACCAGCTTGAACATCTGCATCTCCATTTCCATGTAGGACTCTAATATATATTAGATGATCTTGAGCATTATTTTGTCAGCATATGAAATTAAGAATATTGTATGATAGATTGCACATTCTGTTTAAGTCTCCTGTCTTCGTTATTGGTACGTACATTGACCTCTTCCAATCTTTTGGCCACTATGTCATTCTCCAGATTTGCTGGCATAGTTTGGTTAGAACCTTTATTGATTCTTCTATTGTTTACAATATTTCTGCAGTTATTCAATTAATTTGTGCAGCTTTCTAGTATAATGACCAGGTTGCTGATCTAATTTCAGCTTCTAGTTGTAGAGATTCTTTTAAGTAGGGAATATCTTCTCTTGGATGCTGACATCTCTATTGTACAGAATTTAAATATACTCCTTCCATCTATTTGGAATCAGTAACTGGAATCAATTACTGTCTTTTAGCATATCATTTCAAGGTTGGAACATCCTTCAAGGTTCAGAAATCTTTTGGAAGACTTCCTTGCTTCTCTATGTCTATTTCCATCTTCAGTGTCTTTATAGATGTCATTGTAATACTGCTTCTTATATCTTCTAACAGCTTTCTGAAATTTTGTTAAGTTCCTTCCTGAGATCTTTTTTCCCCCTTTGGTGTCTCTTCTCTTCTTCGCAATTTTCACCATCTGTTCTGTTTGCTTTCTTCTGTTTCTTGGTCTTTGGCAGTCTCTTTTCACATTCATCTTTAACAACCTCTCTGATTTCATTCCACAGTTCCTCTGGTTCCAGATCAGTGAGGTTCAGGACTTCAAACTGATTTCTGATGTTCTCCTTGAAAATGGTGGGTATGTGCACAAGATCGTATCATAGAAACTGTTTCAAAGTCAGCTTCTAAGCATGTCTTTGCTGTTATAACTGAGGTCTTCCATCTCCTTGTAGAAATAATATAGTTTATTTAATTTCTGTATTCCATCTGGTTAAATATACTCCTTCCATCTATTTGGTTATGTCCATGTATATAGGTGTTGTTTGTGTTGCTTGAAGACTGGTAGTAATGAAAAACTCATTGAATTGATAGAAACTGATAAGTCATTCTCCTGCTTCATTTCTGTTTCCTAGGCCATATAGTCCAAGCACATTTTCCTCTTTACTGTTCCCAACTTTGGCATTCCAGTCTCCAACCACAAGCAGCACATCTTGCTTGCCTGTTGTATTGATTTCTGATTGAACTTGACCATAAAACCCATGAACCTCTTTTTCTTCTGCATTAGTGGTTGGAGCATAAACTTGGATAATGGTAATATTAAAGGATTGTCTGCAAATCTAATTAATATTATTCTATCTTTGATTGCATAGTACCCAAGTACTGTCTTTGCAGTATTCTTCCTGACTATGAAAGCAATGCTGTTCCTTCTTTGTTTTCCGTATTCTGAGTAGCAAAGAGTACTACCTTCTGACTGTCCTATTCTAGACCATTTAAAGTCACTGATACCTGAAACGTCAATATGTATTTAATTCATTTCATCTTTCACTGCATTGATCCTTCCCATGTTCATGCTTCTTACAGTACATTCCATGTCCCCACTGTAATTCTGTCTTTGCAGCTTCATATTTTTTTTCCTATGTGACAGTATCAGCAATTAGACATCCCAAAGGTTTTAATCTAGCCACATCATAAACACTCATTAGTGCTCCAAAAAATCCACAGCTCTTCCCCAGTAGCGTGTTGAGTGCCATCCAACCCAAACGGCCCATCATCAATCACTTTATATTGTCTATCCGCATGGTTTTCTTGGTGGAATAGAGGAAGGGTTACCATTGTCTTCTCCTGCACAGTATCAAATGATGCTTTTGCCATTGTCACTAAAGTGATCATTTGCCGCCAGCATCTTCCTATGTCACTGCTGCCCAATATAGGTGCCTTTAGATGGGTAGCTGGCATCATACCTTGGGATATCCTGCTGGGAGTATATTCCTGGCATTCTTTGCTCATCCTTCCCAGGAACATCATGAGGACTTGAGGAGGAACTTTAGGAATACAGAATATAATAATACTGTTTTCAAACATTTGTATTAATGTTCAAAATGGAAAATAAGGATTTTATTTAAGGAAATAGCCAAGATCAAAATCCTCAGGAAAACATTGGAAATTTAAATTATTATAAAAGAAACTAAGTTAAAATCAAACCACATTTTAGAAAGACTATTTATAAGAGAACACCAGCATGGTTAAATAAGTGTCAAAAAGACTTGGGAGACAAGGATTTTTTTTTTTTAATCTGGAAAGCTTAATTTAATAAAAGCAGGAGAGGAAATACTCTGGCTAATCAAGCAAAAAAGGAATTTGAGGAAAAATGATGCATTAACACAAAGAAAATAATCAGGAGACTCAGTTTGGCCTAGTGGTTAAGGCATCAGGCTAGAAACCAGGAGACTGGCATGAAAGCCAGCTGGATTACTTTGGGCCAGTCACTCTCTCTCAGCCCAACTCACCTCACAGGGTTGTTGGGAAAATAGGAGGAGAAAGGAATATTAAGTATGTTCGCCTCCTTGAGTTATTTATAAAAATAATAAAAGCAGGATAAAAAAATCTAAAAAAAAATACTGTAACCTCTACAGAACAACACTATAAAAAGATTACTGAAAGAGCATAGGGAGACGGTGGGACTGTGTCAGCCCTTCAAGGTAGTCCATACAGAACACCAAAACCATGAGTACTAATACTGCCTTTATTGTAAGGCTACAGTAACAGAATCTTGCAAGTCTGAAAGCACTTCCCCCATCCCCCGCCTTAACTTTCAAGAGAACTAGGGAGGGTCCCTTCTAAGACATTTTCTCCACCCCCATCCCCCCTTTGGATTCAGATTTCATTTATCAGACCATTGTCTAGGCTGTGGTTCTTCCTCCTGTCTCCCAAGGTTATTCTCACAGTCCATTACAGAATCAATAGGTTTGTATCAAGTATTTTTCTGTTGAAGATAATTGAAGAGATATCCGGGTCCTTTTAATTTTTAAGAAGGCCTGCATACTATGCATAGATCCAATAAAAGGATTTGGGTAGGTCATGCCTGTCTATGTGAATATGTGTTTCTTGATTTAATAAAATTTTTGAATACTGTATGTCACTAATTAATATAGCAATAGATTTGTTATACAGAATACTAATTAGCATTTCAGTACTTTATAAAAGAATTTCAGCCAAGACTATAGTTTTGATTACTAAAAATGTGTTGATACAAGTGTTAAAGAGCACTTAGGTTAACTGATTATTCCTTATTGTACTGAATTCCCCACAAAAATAAATGGCATATAAAATATTAAATATATTATAAGAAGATTTTATTTATTCATTTATTTTTAACATTTGTAACAAACAACCTGATGCTTACAGCAAATCTCCTAAAAAAATAGCAAGTCAAATATTAGACCAAAAATATGTTCTATGGGGCCGAAACAATTCAATATCAAGTTATTTTTAAAGTTCCTAGCACAGAATGCTTTATGTCAGTCTTAACTCACCGTATGGGTGTTACCAAAGCAAGCTGTATTTAAGCAACATTGTTGATTGGTGTAATGGATTTAAAAATATTGCCAAGATG